TGATGCGATATTTTTTTTCTGCAAACATTTAACAATATCAATTTGTACGTATATTTCCCTAGAGCTAAGAAAAAAATCAATTCCAATAACCACTCGTTTCAGTAAAATCATCTTTTTATTTAAATTTTAAAATTAAGTTTGTTCATGACGTTTGTTCTCTGTTTTGCTTAAGAAATCAATGTAACTGCATTCTTATTAAGGAAACTGGAGACCAAAAGATGTATTTTGAAATTAAAAATATAATCAATTTCCATGGAGGACTTCGTGACATTCTGGAATACATTAAGTGTAAATGTAATTTTTTTTTTGGTACTTAAACATGTATAATAGTATTTAATAGACTTAATTTTGTTTCTTTTGTTCAATATATTGAATGTAAAGGAAAATCTGAAAAGTGTAGGTTATCAGTAAGCAAAACTTCAATTTAATCCGTAAAATATCGGTTCAAAAGATGTGGGCTAAGGTTAAACAGTAACCTGTGTCAAAATGAAATCTTGTTTTGTTTTTATTAACATTCCTTTGAGTCTTTGAGGTAGATTTATAGAAGATACACGACACGATTTTATGACACCAAACTTTATACAAATCTGGATTATACTGACGCTAAAACTGACGATCCCCGTATTATTGTAAACGAAAATCTCAACACATTTGATAAATATTGACGATATCTTGTAAACAATCAACCTAATGCCCTGAAAACGCCCATTGAACTGATTGTGAAAATTTACAATTTGTTAAAATTGCATCATTTTAATTTTTTTTCCAGTCTTTAATATTAATTTCATGTTTATTTCAAAGTTGCTTCAGTATTAAAATACACGTACCGGTAAGACTATATCTACTGCAGATGCAACATCTGTTCTGCACTAATTGAAAATAGCGACAAGTGTAATTTATTGATTTAAATGCTGTATTTGATACAATATATCCGTAAAAACAGAAAAAAAAACCAAGGCTGTCTACTGAATCGATTTTACTTAGTCAAAAAATGACGCTGAAAAGTATGTCTCGTAAAAAATTGTCAAATTTGGTTTATTTTTACCTGCAAAGAAAAGTTTAGCGTTTAAAGTTATGTGCTTTAGAATCTATCTATCGATCCAGTCATGCATTAATCAATCAATGTTTCAATCAATCTATCAATCAATCATCAATCAATCAATTAATCTGGCATGCGATATTCATATCTTCGTCATGCTCCTAGATTACAGAGGCAAGGAACACTGTTGAGTTAATTGAAAATATAGGGACAAGTTGATAGAAAGCTCCCATAATTCACCGTCCTGTTTTCTCAGACAGGTACATCTACCTGGCGATTACAGGTATGTTCAATTTCATAAACGGCAAGTCATATATAAAAGGGTACTTGCTAATATCAAAGTCAACACAAGAAAGACTTTGATGTGCTGCCGCTTGTCGTTAGAGGCATATTTTATGCTCAGACAACGATTCTGGACTTTCATAACCAAAATAAATATCTTGAAAACTTTAATAAAACACCATCGGCCATGACTGTGATGACCCCAGAGTCACCATACAAAGCAACAAAATGTTTTAATAATGCTCTAAGAATTCGAAATGAAAAAGTTATAAGTACTTGAAATTTTCATTTCGCTTCTTTTTTTCCGCAAGGTTTCCTTCACATTGCTTGCGAAGCTCGGACTTGGGGCTTACAAGCATTGGCACTCGAGATCTTGTGTAAAGTTCGCGAGAATCAATTACTTTTTAACGCGGAATAATAAGGATAGGAATTAGTGCTTAAAAAGTAGCAGGTTCCAAAGCAATAAACATGATAGTTCTTCAAAACGACTTTCAGCAATTGACTTTTACCTGCGTATACTTACATATCAGTAACGGGGCTCGTACAAGGGTGCATCCTTTCCATCCTTAAAACCAGCCCTGCCAGATCCGAAGGAGGAAACCATGCAGGCCTAAGATTGGGAAGTGGGTGCAAAAACGTATTTTGAACATATTCAATATAGAATAAAACTTCTGCTACCATAAAGCTGAAATATACATTAATCACAATACTTTAGATGATTGCATATTTCTGATTCTATACTTCTGATTCTATACACAAGTACATGTACTCTGAAGGTAATATTAAAAAGATTCTGGAGCTCCTCATTGACAATGTCCATGTAGTCTTTGAAGAATTAGGTCTTCCAATAATCTGTTGAAATTTCGATTGGCACTAATTATGCTCCTTTATTAGTTGACCTGTTTTTGAACTTTTTTTTGAAGCAGAATTATTTAAAAACTTCTACATGAGGTGAGGAAAAAAAAGATGGTGTGGCTTTCAATTCAACATTTCGATATACTGACGACGTTTAATGAATTAACAGTTATTTGCATTCATATGTCAACTCGATATATTCCATGAACTCGAAATAAAGGACACCACAGAGTCTGTCGCATCTGCTTCATACCTGGATATTTTACTGATTGTAGACGTTAATGACCAACTAACAACTACACTCTTTGACAAAGGGGACGACTTCAGCTTTCCCTATTTATGTAGTAATATTCAACAATCACCTGCATATGATGTTTATATCTCACAACTGTTTCAATACTCAAGAGCATGTTCAGAGAACGATCAATTTTTAAAAAGAGGCAGACTTCTGACAAGGAAGTTGATGTTACAGGGTTCTCTACTATATCGTTTAGAGTAAGCATTTCACTAACTCTACAGTCGTTACAAGTATAGTTTTTTCAAAAAGCTTTGCCGTCTTAAACATTAACTTAAGCAGTTAACCGACATACACCTATCAGGCTGTATTATTCTTGGGTAGTTCTTGGCATTGTTTTTCTTATTCAGCTTTTTACAGACATGAGCCCTAACTATCAGATGAAAGATAGTGCAAATCAAAGAAAAAATAAGCACAAATTTCAATGTTTGCATGCAAAAAGAAAATTTCTGTTCACCAAGAAAATATAAAAATACTTTTTAATAATCGCTGTATAAAATTAAAGCGCCAATTTCATTTATTGCAATTTTCTTTAGTTCGTTTTGTCTATTTTTTTTAAAAATTGAAGGAAAATCTTGAAAAAATTGTTTAGTCGTACAAAAATTAGATCATCAAAAAAAATTATCTCACTTGCCTTGAACAGTATTTCAACCAATGAAATAATTGAAATTTTTCGCATCATGTATTTTCTACCAATCATAAAAGAGAGGAATTGCACAGTCCAAAGATTGTAAAACACTTCCACTTTGTATACCGATTTCCAAGGAGGACAGTAATAATGACCTTGTTTGCCAATACATCCTATCGTTGGGTCGTATTTTGACTGACATTTGTTAACCATTGTTTATATATGCCATTTTGAACACGGATTACTTTGTTTATCTATCAATGCCGAGGGCTCTTGGCGGGTGCGACCGGTCGACAGGGGGTGCTAACTTCTAGGCACCTGATCCCACCTCTAGTGTTTCTAGGAAAGAGAAATTCCATAGTGTATAATCAAAATAAACATATTTACAAGAGGTATCTACTCTATGGACTAACAGTAAATTTATGAATGAATATATCTAAAATCACATGTTCATATATATTAGGAGAAAAAGTTAAAAAAAATAAACAACAGATCATTGCTTGATAAAAATATGAGAAAAGCCACTCGCAAAATTGCTAATGGTCGCAGGGTGTTAAGTTTGAATCTCTTCAAAAACTACGCATTTTACGAAGTTATTTCAAACGTTTCCATTGCTATGGAATTTTCAACGTCTGGTGTACATGTTAAGTGATGTCACTACTAATGTGTTTGTTATAAATTAGTTATGAAATATAATAATAAATATATTTATAAATTATACTCACAGATAAGTGTAAATATGATTTCCACATCTTTTGAAAAGTATTTCCACGAGCTGTATAATTGAATATTGATTTACTATGTGCCTACATGTTAATCATAGTTTCTCAAGACGAACTATATCAAAGTCATGATAATAAATTAACATGTACTATAAACATAAAGGAAGCAAGGTCGTGTTTGGATTGTGATGTTAGATAACTTAGACAATGAGATATATTTAGACCTACATTTATAACATAAAAATGTCTGGTTTAACGTTCTACGTCGTTTTTCATTAAAATCAGAGAAAAACTCACAGAAAAAAATGTGTTATTATTTTTATTTTATTCAAAGTAGATAACGAGTCCATTTTTGCGCAATATAAAGTTGAAATCTTTAAGAAATAGTCAGTGAGTAGAATAAAGTCTAAAAAATTAAAGAGCAGATCTGAATATTAAGGTTAGTACTGACATTTATCGTAAATATATGCAGAGATCTAATTAATACGTAACCTACATTACATACCGCCAGCTGCTCGTTATTTACAGATCATGAAACTAAACTAGTAGGATTTGATCTTCATTATTACTTAATTATACCTTAGACTTTAGATAACGTGAAAGGACATATTGCTCTGTTTAACACTCTAGACAGCTTGTGCTTATATGTAGAACAGAGCCATTTTGTTTAATTTGGAAACATATTACTCACGTTATCCAAATGCCGGAGAAAACGTTATCTGGTAAGTTTTCTGCACCATGTATTGCACATACACAGTAGATTAAAAATAAAGTTCCGAATATTTAAATTTTTCATTGTACAAGCTAATGATGTTTAGCCTTAAAGAAAACCATAGTCATGGTAAAAAATTAATATTTACTAACTACCGAGAGTGCACTGGTTGCTCTAGACTAATTGTCTATGTGGTAGTTTGCGGACGAGGGTGGGGTGTCAAGTACCCAAAACTTCCTGCAACAACACTGACAGCTTTAACTCTATTAGCCCTAGATGAAGTTAGACTTTAGGCATGGTAGGTAGAATTTGGCTGAAATTTTTTCAGTAATTTTCTGGAGATCCCAAACAACCGACAAGCAATCTCCAAGAGATCATTCTAATGGACAGCCATATAAGCTCCTGTTGAAATAATTTTCCAAGTGGAAGGTCGACTGAGCCTTACAAGAAAATAAGTATTTTTTCTATTTATTTCTAATTTTTCCATTATGAATGATGTAAATATGCAATCAGTGTCGAACTTCACGAGTAAAGAAGACTAATCAACATTATTAATGAAAGTAAATACATCATTAATAGGGGATGTTCAGCAATTTGCAGTTCTTGTTCAGGAAAATAGCTTGATGAAATTGTCCCTATTGAGCAACTTCTCATTTTGAGGCAATGATGAGGTTCATCAGAATGTGATCCTTGCCGTGATCTTCGTAGTCGTACAATATGTAAATGCCTTGATTCACGTCCACGCGTTACTGGGATGAATTTGGCACCATCTTTTAGTTTGTCTTACTTGGGAGATATTATCCAGCCGATTTGATACGGAAATGTATTTTACGCTCCGAGATTCGTGAGGCTATTCGGTTTAAAAAAGAACTGATGCTGACATTCTTCGTAAATTACGATGAATGATCTCATTAAGTATAACCTTTCATGCCTTTACTTACAAGAGTCTGGAATCGCAATGATTCCTCTTAATAAAGAAATATCACCACGGCCGCTCCAAAACTACTCTATTGATCCGTGTCTGATGTCCATTGTGTATATCCGGCATTTTACTTTAAATAAATACCCGGACAATCTGCAGAATTCATCAATGATTGGCAATAGGAAATAAGAGATTTGTAAATAAAAATGTCCCTATCAGTGGAGAGCGTTTGTTGAGATCACATAAACCTTTCATGGTCCATTTTATTGGTCGTTAAGAGTCTTAACACTCTTCTGTGATTTCGCCCGACGTAGGCACAAACTTTAACCTTGATTTTTATTTTTGTTGCTTTTTTTCTTCTTTCAAAATGGGATGTACCATGAGCTGCCAGGGCCAAAAACTGATCGACGCGGAGAACCCACCCTGTCCGTTTGCCCTGAAATACGGCAAAGGCAATTCCGTGGAGCATGGAGATAGGGTAGACCCTCAGGAAAATAATAAATTGGTGTCAGAAAACTCAAGAAACAAGTTCCTTAGGGAGGATGAAAAAGAAACGTGTGATACCAAATCAGTACAAAATCCTGCTGACTCTGTAAAACTTTCCTGTAGCGGGAACACCAGGAATTCGGGCACCTGTGATTCCCCGAAAAGGAAGACCAGTACCCTGTCCACTGTATCCACGGCAAGCTCCGTTGGATCGGAGGATAATGAGTTATCTGAAAAGAAAGTAGACCTGATCGGTCTGATAGAGAGCGTGGGGACACTTTTATTACCAACAGTGAGTACTAGTAAACTTTCATGTCGTTTATATATAGGATTTTTCCAATGATGTGTATTTGTTGTCACACGTCAGCATTGTTGTACACAGCAAAAACAACTTTCAAAAGCACAAACTTAGTCGATCACAAATAAAATTATGACAAGTGCGATTGTTTATTGAATTCAGAATATGGTTTATAAACGCAATTTAAATATTTGAATTTATCATATCTGATAAAACGAATCCACCCCTGTTCACATCAGTGCAAAATTAATAATGTTCTATTTCACTCGTCTTTTTTGCGAACAATTCAGTGCTACCAGTGCCATGTTTTTAGATCTAGTTCATTAATAACTAAATACACTCATAATTACATAGGTCTTATCAGGTTTGTACTGATACAGCTCTTATGAAGAGAATCGTAATTTACAAGTTTAGACCGCCTGACAAATTCAAAGACCTCTCCGAGAGTTTCTAATGGAATCTGAGATGGCAGTATTGTGTAGTTGACCCGCTGCGCGGATCGTTTCCTGACTGCTCATATATCCTTTGTAAATATTGCTCGGCTCAAAACTCTAGATCTCATCAATAAACCTGTATGAAATCTTTTATCTAGGATTCTAGGACATTCTGCAAAAGTTACTTACAAATTAACCGTTATAACCTTCTTGTCACCTAATAAAAATAAACATTTTCCAGGAAATTGAATATAGTGTATAGTGCTAAATTTTGTAACATTTATTTAAATATACATTATTATCCTTCAGAACTATATTTCAAAGTTTAATAAGTTACTCTCAAATGCAGTTTAAGAGGTCGCTATTACCCTTTCGATTTTTTTTTCTTATCCTCTAGTCCTTCTATGAATTTGATATTGAATTCCAATGAATTACTAAAGTTATTCAAATTTAATATATTCTAGTAATTAGTCCTCAAGCTGGTAGTTTATTCATGGCATTTATATTCCAGTAAATTTCAGCTCAACAGACTCGTGGGTGGTATAAGAAACCTAGTCTAGTCTAGATTTTTCTGTATTGACTTAAGTCTAAGACTGCTTCATTATTCCGATCTCTGGTCTAGATTTGTCTGTATTGAATTAAGTCTAAGACTGCTTCATGATTCCGATCTCTGGTCTAGATTTGTCTGTATTGACTTAAGTCTAAGGTTGCTTCATGATTCCGATCTCTGGTCTAGATTTGTCTGTATTGACTTAAGTCTAAGGTTGCTTCATGATTCCGATCTCTGGTCTAGATTTGTCTGTATTGATTCAAGTCTACATGTAAGACTGCTTCATGATCCCGATCCCTGATCTAGATTTGTCTGTATTGACTTAAGTCTAAGACTGCTTCATGATCCCGATCCCTGATCTAGATTTGTCTGTATTGACTTAAGTCTAAGGTTGCTTCATGATTCCGATCTCTGGTCTAGATTTGTCTGTATTGACTTAAGTCCAAGACTTCTTCATGATCCCGATCTCTGGTCTAGATTTGTCTGTATTGACTTAAGTCTAAGTCTGCTTCATGATCCCGATCCCTGGTCTAGATTTTGTATTGCTTGAATAAAAAAAAAAATCTCTGTACTAATCACTGATGCTATAAAATCTACAAATAAGAAAAACAGAGAAAAGTTGAGTATATTTGTATCATTTTTTTCATCGTAGCAGTTGACAGATTTGTTTTTTATCTTAAACGGTGGCTATTATATCCATAAAGGATTATGATTTAGTGGACTCTATTTTATTAATAATAAATACACGTACATGCATATATAATTGATGCAAAAAGTGTCTGATACTGCTACAACATAGTATTAATTGTTGATGTTTTATCAGAAGTGGAAGATTTTTACCAAAAATACTACAGATTGTTTCTCATTAAAGATCGGGTGTTTGTTCTTTTTTATGTGGGATTTTACTTATGATAAATAATTTAATAAAGTACATTCTGTTACTTTGTAATGAATCATATTTTGGGTAGTATATCGAAGAGAATATTCAACACAGGTGTACACCATTGGAGATTGGCATGATTAAAGTAAAAGCACTCGTCAATACTTCATTTATTAATGGATTAAAATTGACTTTTCATTTGATTAGAAAATTAATAATTCACTCGATGCAGTGTGCGAAAGGCATCAAATAGAACACTTTCTTCCTATGGGGACACAATAAGTTATACTTTTCTATCAACTCTGAATGGCTTTTGTTATTTTCATATGTAATTACTTGTGCATGTATTTTTGATTGTAACAAAAATGACACCTTCCTGTGATTGCAGTATAGTACCAAGGCATTAACGACAATACATCTGTATAATTAATGTATTCCGGAAATCAATATACTGTTCATTGTCTCTCCATTAAGGTCTGTTGATCTCCTAGCTAATAAATTATAACATAGATAAAAATCTTGTTTCACCGACATGGTATTTAAAATATTGAAGAGAACGAAGTAAACTTTCGTGAGCATTATGCAATTGTTACTAATGGTGTTAACAGAGTCATTAAGGCGGAGAAGTTGATCACTTCTCTCCACTCCAGAAAGATAAGACAAGAGCTATATCACATAGAGACAATATTTCAGGTACTCCTTGGCACTTACTTTGGGTTATCTATCAACCAACAAAAACCGATTCCTGCTGAGAGATTCAGTGCGACAATTACAATCACCTATCCTTAGTTTTGTTCTGAAACGGAAGTCGGAGGTCTTCGTACGAGGAATGCTTTTAATTTTCATTTCAAATTTCGGCAAACAATCTTACATTTACTGCTTTGCACTAGTCATGTTTTGGAAGCCATGTACTTTCACCACATTTTCGTCCAAAGCATACTAGTATAATGGGAACTTCGTTGCAAGCATTAAGGGTATACAACAATGAACTGGATTTATAATGCATGCATTTGTTGTATCATGGATATTTACTCTGAAGTTTAAAATTAAATGTAACTATCTAGATTGTTATAGATGTTTAAACTTCAGATTTAAACTTTTAAGGTAACATAAGTTTTTCACCTTATTTTAGTCAATATCCATAAACATATAATTTTCAAAAAGAAAAATGAAATATATGGAGATAACGAACAGTATTCAAGCTCAAAAGTCCATTAAACATTACAAAATAGGTGCGGAGCAAACATTTTTAACCTAAGTTAGTACATAACCCACTATTGAAACAGTTTTTATGGCAAATGTAAATACTGATGATCACACTAAGGGAAAAATCTTTTGATCTTTGAGATGCATTCCTTTCATTAGAATGTATACTGAATGATAGGTAGGAAATTCTGAGAAACATATGGCTCTGTATAAACAGAAGCCGGCTTCCATGTTTATCACATGTCCACGTTTTGTATACATAACTTCACAGTCTTCCAGACTTTTATTTCAAACTATTATTATTTCTACCAAGAATAACTCGCGAAACCAAAACATTTCAAGAGAGTAATGTTCGAAGAGTGCTCTTGTAGCATTGTGGCATTGGTTCTCTCCGTGTGTGTGCGCTACATAATGTGAGGCACACGCAGGCAGTTACAGTTACATCATGTAAATGGAGACGACGATATTTTAGATCCAGATGCTCCTAAAAATACAATAATCGAAAACCTTGACAAAATACCCCCGACGTAAAAGAGCATGAAGATATTTCTATACAGCTGTTATAAAGCTAGGTGATGCACGTATTTATTAAAGACGTATCATCTAAATACAAAAATGAAAATGACTTGATAACGCGAAAAGACACAGTATAGCAGTACAAAATGTTTTACAAAGAGTTTCATATTCTTTATTTCTTTTCAGACTGGGTTTGTTTGTCGAGCCGTGCAGATTCTTCTTGCTTCATGTGACCAAGATATTCTTAATAAAATCAGGTACATTAGAAAACGAATAGATTACTTATAAACAATGAAAACTGACATACATTGAACAGTATACTGAAATTCTACTATAAAAACCATTTTTTCCAGGGATGAGGCTATCGAAAATGATGTCAAATTCAGTACGGCTTTCAATGAGGAAAATAGACACACCCCTCTGGACCAAGACGAGCTCTTAAAGTTTTCCACCCATGTAGCAAAACTTACGGGTAAAACTCTTTGATGTCATGCATGTACTGTACATGTATAGCAAACAGATATCTAAGGCTATTCTTCGTATACGTAGGTCGATTTGATTTTGAATTGACTTAAGAGGAAGGACATTAATTGTACAAATTTTAATTTTACACTAGCTTATCCTTATCCAAAAAGATTAAAACTTATGATTATCTATGATAATCTACAGGAATTCAACTTTAGTTTTACATACATGTACTGTACAGAAGTTTTATCACATGTTTACAACACCCTTTACCCAGTGAATATCATTCAATGGATCTCGCACTTTGTATTCTAACGCTTCTGATGTATGCATTTGTAAACGTGTTATAAAGGGAAAATTTAAAACAATTTAAGTTATAAAATCATTGAAGCAACAGATCCTACATCAAAAAAAAAAAAATCAAAACACCTTTGTCTTTATTTTAAGCACTTATGTTATGATGTTATTATATGGCGCAAGAAGTTTAAAAAGGATAAAAACCAGTAAAGTATAAATATGTGGTAAAATGAAATATATGGAAATAACGAACAGTATTCAAGCTCAAAAGTCCATTAAACAATACAAATCAGCAGCAGAGCAAACACGGACCTCTAAAACATCAGAGGTGGGATCAGGTGCCATTGAGGAGTGAGCACCCCCTACCGACCGGTCACACCCGCCGTGTGCTCCTTGTCATGATCGGGAAATAACGGGAAAATCCGTTGACAATTCAGTGTGTAAATAATGGCCTAACGATTAGTATGAAAAACGTCAGTCAGCATTTGACTTAATGATAGATTGTATTTGCTGACAAGGTCATTGTATCGACCATAGAACTTACGAAATGATGGCTTAAAACGAGACTGTTGATATTCTTGTTTCACCAACTTGTTTCTCAATAACCTACCTCATTTTAGAAATTGGTCATACGTAGAGCATGCTCTTGCGTATCGAATCAACTGAGAGATAAAAACCCCGTATGCAGGTGATAAAGGTATATTGCTGCATAAGTAAGAGAAGTTGACGATTGAAAAGTTAAAGAGAATTTCTGTCAAGGGACAGAAAACACACGAGCTGAATAAAAGTGTTTTTTTTTAAATCACAAAATGGGAAAACCTACATATATTTAAGTAATTTGTAATTTTATTGCGTTTCGGCCAACTCTTTATTCCACAATGATTTGTTGAACGTGGTCTAATTTTTGATTTGCCAGAGTTTCAAATACATGTATTTCCGATTTTTTTTTTGTTTATGCAAGACAAGAGACTTAACCAGTTGAGATCTTCTGTTTACTTTTCCTCGTTAGGTTGTATTCTTAATACTTATGTAGTTGTGAACCTGTAAGAAGTAGATATTATATAGAGAATTGCTTTGTTGCATAAATAATTAAAAATGTATAGGACACAAGCAAGGCTGCTGTGGATACAATAACATTTTGATTTAATTTTTCTCTTCCACCGATACTAACGGCATAAAATCCTATCTTATTGAATATAATGCAATAAAACAGTTATAGTTGGTTGATATACACTGTATATTTAATAACAAAGATTGTAAATTTTGATGAGCTGTCTCAGGGCGATTTTAAGACGCTTTGCTTTATATATTTTATGCAGAACATTTATCTTTTCTCCGAGTTATTATGTCTCATGGCAACATCTTTATCGCTGGCTCCAAATAGAAAGTATTGAAAGAAAATCCCTTCGTGCTGAAGATATATACAAAATTGATTCACTTGTTTATACATTCCAGTCTTATGCATCCGAACCAAACTGTCCTTAGATATCAGAAACTCCGATACAGTTCTACCCTAAAAACAAACCAAAAGCCTTTTTTTACTTTGTTAACTAATATTATCAACTATAATGTTCGCATTGGGAATATTTACGTATTTGATGTTCCTCGAATACTCCACTGTGGTTCAATTTTCACATTGTTATATTGAGTTTGTAGCAGATGTGGTTTGATATGGATAAAAAAAAAATCGAATCTTCTGTTTAATATATTGACTGTGAAACAAACTTCAATAAATCTCTGATCTGCTTCTTATGTATTGAACATTTTTTAACCTTTCTGTGTCGCGTTTGATGGCATGCCTTTAGGAATTCTGCCTCTGATGAAGTAAAAGTCAACTGTCTCGTGTTGGGGCTCTTTTTATTATTAATTTCACCTCTGTCTAAGCGTTCAACTATTATGATTGATGTGATTTAAGTTTTTGTAACGTCAGTATCTGCTCAATTCTATTAGATTATTAACTAATATTCAGCACGCTGAAATGTCTGCAAATGTTAGAAAATATACGGTTGAGAAATTCTCCCACAAGCTTCCATTTCGGTTAATTTTGAATTATCTGTATGAAATTACTATCCTGAGGTTCTGGATCGAATGCATAAAACACTCAGCCGATTCCGTAATCATATAAAGATCCTGCATCTTAGTAGAGGCGTCAATGAAGGGTTATTTATGTGTAAAGTGACAAACTATAAACCCTAACGGTACAAAGCTAGATAATTATCCCCAGAAAATCGCAGAAACTGTCCTCTAATGGGGACTCGGACTCTTTGATACGTCTTACTAACACAGACATTTTTGTCTAGAGAAGAAAGATATTATCAAATCAATCATGTCATATTATAGAATTTTTGTTTCAACACTTACAGATTAGACGGGTTATGCAAATTTTTATCTGCTTCTAATACGAACATTTTCTAGATATGGTGTATTGTATTGGGAATTTTTGCACAATGTTTTTTTTGTCCTGTTCACTAATAATATGTGTATATTTGTTTGAGATGAAAAGAAATTTTCCTTTGCATCTTTTATATTTGTGAATTGATTTTTATTGAAGAATTCTGATTAAACATTTAGGCTTTCGCTACTTGTAGATACACAAGACGAAAAGGGGACGCTTTGCCGGCTTGGCGAGGAGTACGCCAAACTCTGTCTGTCAGAGTATCGGAGGTCTCTAAGCGTACTGGGTAGCAATATGGTGGAATTCTTCAGTAATCTTGATGGATTCCATGACCATATTCTCAAGTCTTCCAAATTCAACGCGCAACGACCGCCATCTTTTCGATGTGAAAATAGTCCCAACCATGTGGTTTTACATATATACACGGAGAGGTCAAAAATGTTGGATTACTACGCGGGTATTGTTAAATATGTATCAAATTCAATGTTCAGCTTGGATGTTCAAATCACTGTACATCCGAATGAAACAAAAACCTCCTTACACCATATCATAAAAGTACAAACCTCTGTAAAAACATGCTCGAGAGAGTGCTCGTGCTGTAAGATTTGTTCACATCAATCCGCTTACTCGGAAAATCCAGAAGATCTAAGGATTGGTTTTGACACTTTTTGTGAAACATTCCCTTTTCATCTGATTATGAATAGAAACCTTGAAATAAGTCAGCTCGGAACGGCATTAATGAAGACTGTTCGTTCTGAGGAGGAATCTAAAGAGCTAAGCTTTACCAAGTATTTTAAGGTTATCCGACCTGAGATCAAACAGCTTACTTTTTCTGCGCTGCTGTCGAGGGTCAACTTTGCTTTTCTCCTGAAGACCAGAGTACGCTCTAACGACAACCTATCTCTTAATGAGGTACTGTCTTCGCTGATTTCTAACCCTATAAGTTTCAGAATTAAAATTATATTTGTGCATGCCCTATATTGATTTGTACGTTCAACCATTTCAGGGTACACTGCTAAAAGGGCAATTGATATTCCTCCCGGAATCAGATTCCCTAATGTTCTTAGGATCCCCAAGTATAGAGAAATTAGACGAACTCATCTCTAAAGGTCTCTACATATCAGATGTCCCCATCCATGACGCAACTCGTGACGTCATTCTCGTTGGAGAACAAACCAAAGCACAGGTAGTGATATTCTTTTTAGTTGGTGTTCTTACAATTAGCATTTTTTGTTAAAGATTAATCCAACTTAATCAAGTTTCACACATTAATAAAACACAACATCCATGAGAAGGAATATGAGTTGCTCGGTGTATGTTCCATTGATTACAACGATATCTTCGATTCTTTGTGGTAATAGAAGTAAAACAAACCACACCACAATGTTGTATGTAAATTTAGTAATGGTTGAAGAAGAAATTTAAATACAAGTACAAAATGAGAAGACGTTTCCTAATTTGCGTAAACATGAACTGTGTACTAAACAGTTTATATTACAAATTGAAATTAACCCTATTTAAACAATAATTTCCAATATCATTTTGGCATTCAGTTTGCTTTCCAGTTTTGTAATACATGTATATAATTTGATTTTGTTTGTATTCTAGCCTCTGATTGGTTAATATCCAAAAAGGAACACAAATTATTTCTGTATAACCTGGTTTGGAATGGGGACACACCCCCTGACAACCAGCTGAATCATCTGTATCCATACAATCCTCTCATTTCCAGTCCTCGGGATTCATGGAAAATTCCAGATTTAATAAATGTACTTTTATTTTCAAAAAATAATTCGATCTTACCACATGTAAACAAACAACAAGGCTGCCGCTAGGCCTATGCATCAGTTTTTACCTCCCCTCGCTTCCCATCACTTCCGTTACTACGGTTGTATTATTGAGCGGCAAATTTGAACTAATAAAAAGCAACGAAATTGTACACCCTTAGTTATTTAATGATTTTAAAATTAAATTATAAGGAATGACTCTAATTCTTGGCCAAATTATTCGAGTATAACCTGGTTTGGGTCAGTTTACGCTTTATAATCCGCGAAGCTATACTCGAATAATTTGGCCAAGAATTAGAGTCATTCCTAAAATATACATTGCAAATATTCATTATTTAAAGGAAATGAATTTTATTTAATTTGTTAAAAAATCACTTGAGAAGACTTCTTTTGAATTTGATATCGGCAGGATGGATTGACAAAAAGAATGGAACAGATAAAAAAGAGCATTTTGGAAGGAAGTGAAGCAGTAAATATTGAAAAACAGAAGAACGTGGAGCTCTTAAACATGATCTTCCCTGAAGCTATAGCTATGAAACTTTGGAGAGGTAAGCACACCAAAAATAAAAGTTTAGATCCTTATTGATATTAATTTATATTTCATCTAACCGATTTATTGAGATGTCCAGTGTAAAATACTTAAAGAATAAGGCGTTGGGACTTCCAAATCACTTCGACATACCCATTGTATTCGAGATATCAGTGTTCGAGATACCGAAGGTCAACTGTATTTCACTGCGCAACTTTTAGAAAAGAAATTCTGTTTAAACAAAAAAATTACATGATTGTTTAATGACAATGAGAAAAAAAATGTATCTGGTTTTCTTTTTTTTTTTTTTTATCATTTATGTTATCAAAATATGTAATTTATTCAATATTATTTTAAGGAGAACCAATACAGCCGACCAAAGTTGATGACGTCACAATGTTGTTTAGTGACATAGTAGGATTTACGGCCATTTGTGCGACTTGTACCCCAATGATGGTTGTCAACATGCTGAACTCTCTTTATACCCAATTTGATCACTACTGCGGAATGCTAGATGTTTACAAGGTATTGTTTCAAAGCTTAGTCATCCATTTTCTGTTGAATGTGAGATTTCTGAAGATTAAAATAAATTGTAGTTTGGATTCTGGATGTAGAAAAACACCTGCTGCCCAAGTGTGTCGTATACATCGTCTGTCTTACTGCATGGAGCTTCCAAAAGTGCCAGTCCGTATAATTAGATTTATCGTTCCTGATAGATTACATTGGTGATTGATTTGCCTGTGTTTTAACACCAAGCAGCTGCTAATAGACAATGCTGACAATATATGAAAAGTGTTAAGAAAGCTCTCGGGTTAAAGAAAAAATATTAGTTTCTCTTCTCCTAATATTAGGAGATGGGATGGTCTGTTAGGGTTCTGGTATGGTAGGGATGAGCTAGCTGCAATTGTATACCTCCAAACGCAAACTGAGACACCCCAATCATAATCGATTTTAAGAACACTTGAAAACTGATTAAGGACTGGGCCTTTTAAATAAAGAATAGGATATTGCCTGAGCGACTGGTTTTCATAGAATGATGTCGTTGTTGATTTTAACGACGTTGTTGAATACTATCAGACAGGAGATTCAAATCAAATATTACCAGCAGATGATACATAACGCCATATTTATAAAGCTCGATTTGAATTTTCTCCTTTCAATGTTTTTGTGTCTTGAATGTTTTTTAAGATTCGTGTGAAAATACATCTGGTAAATGAAGGATTGCTCGAAACCGATGATAGTAATATACATGTATTATACATTTATTGCATGATAGTGCGGGAAATATGAAGATTTATTCAGCCAAGAAAAATCATATTCCCTCGGGGGAATATGATTTTTCTTGGCTGAATAAATCTTCATTTTTCCCGAACACACATGCAATAAATTGTTAATAATGACGAAACAAGCCAACCCTATGAAAATGAACACAATTTTATTCAATTCGGCGTCGCTCTCAAATTCACATGATTCACTTTCAGTTAAAAAAAAAGTTTTCATATAACGAACTATATAAGTAATGCGGGAAAATGCATGAGGTCTTCGAAGAGGTTGAATCGAGACGAAGACAGGGAAATATGAAGTTTTATGGACCTGTCAAGTGATTGTCTAGAACCAATCAGATAATGCGTTGTACAGAATAATTATTATGAGGTATAATGATAAGCTTTATTACATTTTCAACAGTGAATAACTGTAAAAACTGATATTTTTTAAAGTGATATTTTTCACATCAAAGGTGATATTTTTCACTGAAAATATCAAAAGTTCCGCAAAACTCTTGATTTTCATTCCTTTGACAAAGTATGTTATAAAGAAGATCTCCCTATTATGAGATAGCGGGAGTAAATAAACCATCCTAACTTAGACAAAAATTATCAAAGGTTTCTCGATCCAAATTGTTGTTTATAATTATCCATATCTTACCATCGCTTTGCTATGACGTCTTGCACCTGCTCAACTATGACGTTGCATCCTACGGCACTACAGACAGAGGCATATCATCAAATAGGCCGCAAAAGTGTCAAAGAATAGAGGCGTACAAAACGAGGATAATCCCCCGCTCTAAAAAAGACATTTCTCAATTCTAAAAGTTCATGAAAAGTTACATTTTTCAAAAATTGTATTGTCAGTATAATCTTTTACACATTTGCTTCCTTTATTTTATTGAATAACTTATTTATAAATTATTTTTTACATATGTTTTTAAGGTATGTGAAGAGAAAAAAAAAGTTTACATATGATTTTAACTCTCTCTATAGCTCACGCTTAACCGTAAGAACGAAGTGCTTCGCAGTCGTGAAAACATCCAAAATCCTGTGCCACGAGTGAAATGAATTCCATATCCAAGTACAAAACATTGACTATCCTCTGTTTTTCATGACTTCATACATGTCAGACTTCTTAACGATATCAACCATTTGAAATAGCGGCGGCCAGAAGACTCCTATTATTGGTCTTAATAATATTTGATACGAGTGGATAAAATGGGAAAATTGGAAAGATAAAGTTATGTTGAGTAGGTATCAGCAATACTTTATAGCCTTCCAGAGAAAAAAAGCAGACGACAATTGTTAACGACGACAATCTGTAAGACAATAACTGGATGGGATGTATTCATTCGTCCAGGAAACCGTATATTTCCAGAATTTGATTTTACTTATTAAATACAGAATCCCATGTAATGGATACAAATGTCGAACAGGCATGATCGGACAAGATATAAATATATGGTTGATGTGGTTTGGTCGCCAAGTTAGTGACGTCCAGTATGGGTGATATCAGTTGGCGATTTTTCTGAGATTTACGATTCTCTGTGTTCGGGGTTGCTGAACAGACTTGATATAAACAGATAGACAGACATTGATATTGAGACAGGATTGCTTGATTTTTTTTCAATTTAAATGAATATTATTGAAATCTTTCTAGAGAGTGTGGAGAAAAATATTAGCACCAGGTGTTGAGGTGTTTTCAATCATGAATATATAGGTACATGTATTAAACAACACTGACTTTGTTCCATTTTACTGTGCGTTGCTGATTTAGGAAAGAATATTAAAATTATTGTGGTTATAGTGTTGGCTTATACAGCAACGACAATAGGATTGTCCTCGATTCTATATCAATCCTTTTGAAATATTTTCTTGTAACGTATAGCTTTTCATACAGGCAGTCAAACATATTGTTAACATACTTGATACAAATTAATTTCTCTGATAAACAAAGGTTCGACTGAGTATTTCAACCATGTTCTCTAAGAAATATAAGAGCTGTAACAGTTAAAGTAATAGGCTTTAAAGAAATGCTTGGATTTAAGTACAGACCTAAAGAAATGCAAGATCGATCTGTAACAGATAACATAAAGTATAGACCTTGAAGAAGGCCTGAAACAAATTAGAAAGGTGTCTATTAGACTTTGAAGAAATACATGGTGTGTTATACATAAAAAAAGTATAGACCTTGTATTGTAAGACCTTTAAGAAATGTGAAGTCTGTAAACTACAAATAATGTAAGTTTTTATACGGTCCTTGAAATGCAAGGTCTGTAACAGATAAAGTACCTTGATTCAAGGTCTACTTTATCTGTTACAGGCCTTGTTAAAATAGAAGCAAAAAATGTTAAAGCATAGACCATGAGGAAATACAAAACTTATAACGAACACATTTGTTTGTTCGTTTTACTTAAAGGACTAGATGTTAAGTAGATGATGAATTAGACCTCCATCCTAAAATTAAGTTATTGTTTTAGGTAGAAACAATAGGAGATGCATATTGTGTCGCAGGCGGATTACACCGGAAGTCCAACTACCATGCGCAGCAAATTGCGTGGATGGCATTGAAGATGATGGAAACTGCAAAGAATGAGCTGTCCCATGACGGGAATGTAATAAGGGTCAGTATTTTCTATTAAATGTCGACATATTTAAGGATTATAAAAAAATACTTGCCTTTCAGGCAATAGACAATAGTGAGTTTCCAATCAAGGGTCCACAGAGAGGCAAGGAAGAGATACGATTGTAGGCAAAGACAGTAATCAATTATGAGATAAAATTAAATTGCATAAAAGTAAAATACATGCAGAGCAAGTTCTGGTGCTTTACTATGTTATGTTAAATGATTAGAAAGGTAGTTTCCAAGTTGAAGTAAAATATCAAAATTTTCAGATGTAATGATCCAGAAATATTTTTGATAACTATCTATGCTAATTTAAAAATATACATTATATTTCCGTGCTTCATTTAGAAGTTCATAAAACGTATCTAGCTACAGTCAATGTTTCTTCTAGTAAGAGAAAGTTGAAGGAAACTGACAAAGTTCTGAAGCTAATTCTGTGTAATTCATAGCTGAAAATGAATCATTGTATTTTTTTCTTCCCGAATCATTGCTTCTAAATTGCAATATATAAGAGAAAAATCTTTTTCTTTAACTTAATGACCCACTTTCCATCGCAGCCAGGAGAGCTGTGAATTGTTTTCCACTTACCGACACAAAATGTAAATAGGAGAGACGTTCAGGTTCTAATATCTGTTCCTTTGATACATTTATTGCATTTTCTGGTCGGTTGATTTCAATGATTTAAATGTCCGCTTCTTTGCTGAATATAAGCAACAACTACATGTAGCGACATTTAAATTAGTTTGTAAAATTCACAACGGACAACAAAATCGTTGTAAGGGGTTTCAGTACAAGAAAAATAAGCAATGTATATGCACATTTGCATGATTTTATATCATGGGGATTTTATAACACTACAATTAATTTTATTTGCAACTCTCAATCCTGTTGAAATTAAAACTGCATTTTAATATGGTGAATCAATACTGACCAGTAAAAAATGTAGGAATACCGGTGAATAGAAAAATAAACGAATAAAAATTATGTGAAACATGGTTGGCATGCAACTAAATTTCGAATGATTTGGGTATAATTTAAACACAAAACAGTCCATTGCACATACTGTCCACACTTCTGCAGTTATTTGTAAGATATCTATCCATTATTGCTGCATAGAATTAGATACATAAATACACCTAAAAATATCCTTGTGTGCGGTATCTTTTCCGGGTATCATTGGTAAAGCATCACTAAACATGACATAAATTGACAGACATTATATGAACAATGACCCCCGAAAGAAAAGGGGGAAAACCAACACTACGAGGAGAATCTGGCATGTTATCATAGATATGTTGGATTCAGCTGTTATTGGTGTACTTTTACATGGCATACAGTCGAAAATAATGATCAAAGATAGCTGAAAATTAAAGTAATAATTCCCCTTAGGCTTCGTTTTGCCTTTTTTCCCTCTCAAGTATTTGTAGAATTCAATTCGAAGATTATTACTGTAACAGAGAAGTCCTTTTAAATTTAAGCGATACATACAATTAAGAATTGTTACAATAAAAGAATTTTCTATTCGATTTCAGGTTGAATTGCGATTTCTAATACATGTATATACTTTTAAAAAGTTTCCACTAATTTGTATGATTCGTGAGACTGGAAAAACAAAGCTTTGGACATTATTTTGAAACTACATGTACAAAGACCCGCTTGTAAATCATCACTTTTAATTTGCATTCCCCGTCTCAAACTTTCATAAAAAACTTGCCAGTCTGTGTGATATGGTAAGCGAGCGAAAGTAAAGCCATTTCTCTCTGATTTAGGTTCTTACCCGCTCGTTAGACAAATTCTTCAGACAGGATGCTTGTTAAGCCCTCATCAAAATAAAATATCATTAGAAGTATAATATCCCATTAAAAGTCAATAACAATATTGGCGTGTAAAAGTGTTACAAGGGAATCCTCTCCGCGTGAGCGATATGCATCTTTAGCTCAGACGTGTAGAATTCTCAAGCATTTTGTCATCTCTTCACATACAAAAATGTGATTCCTATAATCTAGATAGCCTGTACAGCAGATGTCTACGTATCAAACAAGATGTATGCTTCTGTTTATACCATCAGCCCTTTATCTCTTTTAAAAGTGCGTTTTTTGTGGAATTCTCGGATAGAAGAACACGAACATCTTTAATATTTCAAAATGTGATTTTAAAGCATTAATGAAATACAAAAATATATACCTCCTATGGATTCCGTGGAAAGATCTGTGATGGTTAAGCCAGGGATTCGGTAACATGTCTCATTACAAGACTCTGTAAACTAATCCACATCAGACCGGTATTCAGGTCAGATCAGCAATCAAAATGGTAGGCCGTATCATTCAAAGTACATTAATTAAAGGGTTTATGAATTAACACATTTTTTAAAAATCTTTTTTTCGGCATTATGACATCAGATTTTTCTGTTTCCCACTTGTTAATATATACTCAGTAACAAAGTAAAAAGTTAATATCAACTAACCTATCGAGATACACATTACAAAATTCAACCTATTTAAAAGCAAGGCTAACATATCTCTGTATTCACTATAATATTTTAAAAATGAGATTATTTTTTACAAAGAACAAAATACCCGTCCAATTCTTCGATTCTGTTCCTAACTGAGGTAGAAGGATTTAGGTCTTACAACACGTGCGAAAAGTAATCATCGGAACAAATTTATTGAGCTTCTGTGCAGCGATGAGCAAACCTGTGATTGTAGTAAAGCATGTTCCTGCCACAGAAATCTGAGAACTGTCGTTCTCCTCAGAGCAAGGACGATTTAGCACTGCAAAAACTAATTGACCTTGATTGTTGCCTTCATGTGTAACAAATTTAAGCGACATGCTTTAGAGATAAGGCAGAAGTTTTTCCGAGATTTGATACAAATAATTAGACAACTATTCACTTGTTTAGTGTTTGATGAGTGATATCTTCGTCAGATTGAGGAATTCTAAACAGTTGACTGATGGCACTCGCTGTGAAGCACACAATATTTTAAAGGCGTTTTACAGAGAAATTCATTTTAACATTATTATTTTTATATTGTATTATCCAAAAAACAGATGCTCAAAGCCCTCAATTAGATAAAGTGACATGCTTTCTAAAAATACATTGTTAATCTGTTACACTTCGTGAACTCTCTACCACTGATATAGAAGTCATTCTACGTGTTACAATGCTAAACTAAAGGCTTGTGTTAAACTGTTAAACTAAAGGCTTCCGAAGGTTTTTGAAAAGGTGCTTTACAACAAAATAAATTTAAGAGGGCTCGGTTGCCATGACAATTCTAGACTATTTATAAACCCGGGCCTGAAATAGAAGAGCTCTGTTTATAACTATAGGAAAGTGCATTAAAATGTTAAAGCTGGAACATGCTTTTTTTCTTTACTTAATGATAGTTTCTGGCTAGAAAATCATATTTCATATTTCTAGATGGATCTGCAGGCCCGTAGAACGCGCGGGGGGGGGGGGGGGGGCTCATTTTTCTACGTATACAATGTGGTATTTTGCTAAAGTAAATTTTCCTTTAGATGCTGGCTGCTTCCCCCTCCCTTATTTTATTGCTGTAAGGTCGAGCGCTTAAATATTCCAGGATTTGGACAAGGTAATTAGTTCTTTTTGGTCAGATTTTTTGGGAAGCCCCCCCCCCCCCCTTTTTGAAACCGTTGGTACGAACCTGATCTGTTGAGTAATTTGTTGATCACCCAACTTCCATGACTGTATTTTATTTATATACAAGTGACATAAACTTCACCAATTTATGTTTTTCCCTCTACACAGATGAGAATAGGAATCCACACTGGGTCTGTCTTGGCCGGAGTGGTGGGTGCGCGAATGCCTAGATACTGCTTATTTGGTAACAATGTAAACCTCGCCAATAAGTTTGAATCCGGAAGTGAACCTACAAGGATCAACATTAGTCCAACAACGTACAGGTGAGAAAACGAAGCAAGCTTTTACTTTACTTTTTATTGTATGATTAAATGATTTCTAGTTTCAGACTGGCTAAAATACAGCGTTCTAGAAATCATAAAGAGTTCTGTTTACTAGCACCTGACTTCCAAGGGAACTGAACATTTAATTTGTTCTACATTAAACGAAAAATAGATGGGGAACTTCTAAAATGATACTATGGTTAGCATTTTTTCCTCTCTCATGATTGTGTGTGTGTATGTGTGTGGGTGGATGGGTTGGGATGATGCATCATTAATATTTATACAAGGCCAACAATAAAAAAAATGATTTGTTTGAGGTACTCCGACTGACCCATTAAAATTACCCCTACCCAATCATTTTTTTAGTACTTCAAATTCTTTTTTTTTTAATAGACTAGACTTTGACCCGTGCGTGCACGGGTTGACATTGTTATGAATGCATCCATGTGCATATCGGACATTTACAAAATAGATACATCGACACATTGATATTGTAAGGTACTTTTGAGATAAACAATGAATGTGAATATAATTCTGTTTTGTTTTTTTTTTTTTTTTGTTTTGTTTTTTGTTTTTGTTTGTTTGTTTGTTTGTTTTTGCAAAATTGTTGCGTAACGGCGTAGCGCAGAATGGCTTTGACCACCAGTTAGCTATAAATCAAGTCATGAGTTAGAATCACGCCGGAGCTTACATAAATTTCACCTTTCCAAACAAATTTAGTAAAAGAAATTATGGATATTCATTGAAAATATGACAACAACAAAGAGTTCAGCACTGCTGATACCTATAAAGCGTAGTTACCATGACGACCTTTACATATTTAGAAGAACAGGCTGTCCCTTCTATATAACGTACTGAAGATCAATAACAATAATTTACATATTTCATCCACTTATTTTGAAAGTTAAAGAAATTTTTAGAGGTGAATTTAGATATAAACAATAAAATACTTTCTTTGATGGTTCACGTGGGAAATGCACGGCGCAAGCATTGCAGGGGGTGTTCACCGTATTGTTGACAGACCAGGGTCAGAGGTAATTACATGTATTTACATAACAAAGCTATAAACCTACAATAATGCTATTGATTTCACTGCACTTCTAAGAAATCTAATGTGAATTTTTTGCATGGAATCAAATATTTCTTTGCCCCTAGTTTATGTTTCATATTTACCGCGTTATAAATTTCAGCAGTGAAGGTAATAGTAAACATATGGCGAACAAATTCAAGTTGCAATCATTTAGACACATTTCAAATTGAAAATATCGGTTATATTGACGTTATTTAATTACTTCGATTTATTTCAAAGTTAAGAAATGAAAATAATGTTATTGTAATTTTTGGCGGAAAAAGAATGCTTACTTCACTAAGATGTGATTCTAGCTGGAGTTGTAACCCCCCCCCCCCCAGTGGCGGATTCAGGGGGGTTTGGGGGGGTTCGGGAACCCCCCCCCTCGCCCGATCAAAAAATTTTTTTTTACAAGTGTCATTTTAACAATATATTGCATAAATGCAACTCTATCCAAGCCCATTGTTTTACACAAAGAGGTGAAATATACAGTCACCATGCGAAATCCCTTTCCGCTTGAGCGCACACAATATACAGGTAATCAACAGTACTGTACATGCAGAGATCATGATAGTCCGTGCAGCTAGTGATGACGCAACGTCATACACTAACAACCAAAACTGCACATAGTTATTACGGTTTTGTTTTGGCTAAAGTAATATTGTTTCGAGAATTTTCTTCTTTCTTCGATAATTGAATGTTACTTTATTGAACTACGTGAATAAACTGTGATTATTATTTAATAGAAAAAAAATTAATTAATACATCAGGGACGTATACTAGTTGAAATACGTTGTGACCTGTACCAAAAAGCACATTGAAAGTATTCCTTTTGTAGATGGAAGTTACAATGCAATTTTAAAAAGCAAAAGATCTGCATTTTTTTAAAATTACAGTTGAATGATGTTGAATAAAACCCAACTAACGGTTACAACTTTGTATTAATAATGAATTGTGGTAAAACTAATACGTATAAATTAGAGGTCCTGTCAAAACAAGAATTGGCCACTTTTTTATTGATTGTTTTTCAAGACTTTTTTTCAAACATTGGGCAGGTAAGTGGGTAAAAAAAAAAATAGAATTAAAGAGTGCATTTATGTTAGAAATTATAATTACCCCCCCCCCCCAATGAATAAGCAATAATTCCAATTATTTTCCAAAATAATTTATATTTATTCTTCAATATGAAATATCATTATGTGTATATATTGCAAATTATATGAACTGTATAGTCAAGTAGTTGAAAAGAGTAATTAGGGTCTCTACACAGAATTCGAATGTTCTAAGTGTTGGAAAATTGCACATCATGCAGTTGTATTTTGGTAGACAAAGCTTCACATGCGACAGTGTGTAGGACGTGCATTTTAAAATGAAGAATTGGATATTATATAGCAAATGGCGATATTTCTAATTTTATCAGATTTTACATTTAACTTTTTCTTTAGAAAAGTCTCATTTTTCAAGTTAACATGGAAGTTAAAAATAATCCCAAAATTTTAATTTTTTGTTCAATTTCTTGAAAATTTGGGGAGGTCGGTCTTGAAAAACAACTAGGAAAAAAGTGGCCAAAAACTAATTAATTCAATCTAAAATGCTGGAAAATGCACCATTTGGAGCCATTTTTAAAGAAAATTTCTCGGGGGAGGCCCCCCGAACCCCCACCTATGGGAGGGGGACACCCCCTCCCATGCCCTCCCCCTTCGGCCCTACGGGCCTCAAAACCCCCCCACGTGGACTTCTGGATCCGCCACTGCCCCCCCCCCTTCCCCTCAAAAAAGCATAAAAGAAAGGAAGGATAAAATAAAATCGGGTAGTTACATTAATATTGCTCCTACGATCATGAGCTTTTTGCCCCCCGTTGAGATGGCCAGATACATAAATAACATATAATAAATGTGTCTCCGAGATGGCGAATGATTACCCACGTGACCACAATATCACATTTGTATGGATAAACTCAGAAAGATAATACAAATACGTGTAAATTTTCATTGGAAATTTGCTATATATTCTGTTCATATATATTTATTATATTATTATCTACTTAGTACTTCTTTTGTCTTCTCTCATGATTTGAACACCGTGATTTAGCGTGAATGTAATGCGCACGCGCAAGATTGTAAAATCCAAAAAATCCAGATGATTTCCGGAATTTTTGTGGAATTTTCGTTGATTATTAATTAGCGAAGGCTAATTGAGAAAAAATAAAAACAAATTGGTAATCTTCAAGTACCAATTATGTTTAAAAAATATATAACAAAAGACAGTACTCTTCCGATTTATCGGTATTAAAGGCCAAAAATTCGAGTCTATTATTTTAATATAGTAGTATAGATTATCTGTACATTATTTTTTATAGTTAAGGTGTATCAATATTCTAGGATAATTTTTAGATTAAAAGATTTTAATAATTTAATTTGTTTAGCTGTCAGGTGTCTATGATGAAAATTCTGTGGTTTATAAACGATTGTCAATTGCTAGAAAATATTTTTTAAAAAAAAAAAAAAAAAAACTTACCTTCCTACCTACTACAAAATTTTTAATGATGGCCCAATAAAAAGTGATTAGATGTTGACCTTTTTTTCCTAATCTATTTTTGTGTTTCAGATGCTTACAAGCGACAGAGGGCTTTATATATACCCCAAGAACCAGAGAGGATCTACCATCTGGATTTCCACAGGAAATAGACGGCGTATGCTATTTTTTGGATGGGTATGAACATCCCAGTTTCGCAGGATGTGACGACACTGAATTTGATCATATTGATTTTGCATTGCAAGAGTTAAGTATTTCAAAGGAAGTGACGTAATTATGACGAAATTCAATGCGAGGGAGAAATACCGTCCGTTTCTGTACACTTTGTTTATCGACTACACTTTTAATTTAATGTAGGTTGTATATTTCACTGTTATTAACTTAATCTGTTGACTTTTTAAAATATTAGTTTCGTTTGATTTATATGTGTATCATACAGATGCATTTTATCAATTTTGTATCTTTAATGTTTTTTTAAAAAAATAATAAGTATTTCACAGTCAGTCTTTAATTTTTTTGCTCTACAATTTAATATTTTCCAAAATCAGACATTCACAATAATTTTTTTTCTCATTATCAAAAATATGGATATACACCAATTTGATTCCAATATTGAAATATACCACTGCTCAGGATGACTGGAGATTTTGGACACATCGATAGTTCAGTACACTCTTGTAAAACGATGTTGTTCAAAATGTAATCAGCACTAATTAATCTCCTTTAAAATGCCATAAGTAACATGTGTAATGTGATATTTCAAATTTTCTGTTTCATCTTACACTAAGTACATGTATGTTTATATGTTTGCCATTTATTTGCATTTTTGAAATAATATTAATATTAAATTCACAGTTCAGTATTACGGGTATGATGAGTATCCTTAGTTATTTAGAAATTTATTCGCAAATTGTAAGTTTTATTATCCCCATGTTAGTTTACTTACGCGGAATCAGTTCTATTGAATTTCTATTGACATTCCACGAAAGTGTTCATTTTTAATGATGCATATTTTTTTCACTTCAATATCTGCGAGAGAAGTTTCAGCTGTTAATGCAAGTGACAGGTGGTTAAATTTCATATTTCATGCAATTATCTATATTTACATTCCATAGTTCTATTTATTATAAAAATAACTTTGCAAAATTCTGACCTTCATTTCACTCTAGATAACGGTTTGATCGTTTCTAACAGTGTCACCAAGGTTCGCGATTTTTGCACGTATGATACAGAACTATTGAAAGGAATGGGTTATATTCGATAAAGAACAGCGGGGCTATAGTGTAGATTAAGCTCATTAGGTTGTTATTTCTTTTTAAAAATGTAAGCATTTGAATGGTATATTTTGAAACCTTCGATGCCATGTGTCATGCGGAGGACATAAACGCTTTTAAAATTCACAAACTATTGAATATAGTATGCTATAGAAAATATAACTACTATATATGCCATGCCCCCTCAATACTAACGTGTGATGACCATTTTTTTAGCTTGTCAAGGAGTTTTCATAGTGCTTCCACCAAACTGAAAATGTTTGGTTGTGGCCCCCCCCCCCCCCCCCCCCACTAAAATTGCTTCCTTCGGGCCTGGTGTGAGTTGGCGATATAGAAGAAACCAGGTTAAAAATAAATATCGCATGTGTTTTAAATTAACAAGCATCGATTTAGCGGAAATGAATAAAAAAGAAGACTATGATTGTTATCAGTTAGTATTATTTCTTTCATCTTTAAATCAAAGAAAATATTATAAAAAAAGCTATATATAGCTATATTTATTGCAGATTCCCTATTAATCAAACAAACAACAGAGATATTATTTTGCTTCTTTAATTTGGCGCTTCTGGCCGCGGTGATCAATTTGCTGGGGCTACCACAGGGCTGCCCCACAATCAACAATCAATACAACAAGTGTGACGACCCAAATCGGGCGGATATTGCACTGGGTAGGTCACAAGTGCATGAACGTCACCAATTCAATTATCAATCAAGTTCAATCAATCAATCAATCAATTCAATTATATCAATCAAGTCAACTGCTTGTCAATTACAAGCCAATGCACAAATTCAAATCCTGAATTTCAATTAACATGTGCAATAGGATAAACATCTACATCTACATAATACAGCGTTCCATCAAACCTGATGATTATACGCTGGCCCTGCGCAAACGGACCTCTAAATTATAATTTAAAAAGTATAAATAAACTAAGTGCCATAGAAAGTATAAATAAACTAAGTGTTATGGAAAACAATTTACATTGTGCATGAAAAAGGTGTATATCTATATAATTATATATTTACATTGTGCTCTAATTAGCTCTATAAATATAAGAGCTATGGAGCATAGCTTTTGACCAGAGTTCTGAACTGGTCCAAAGAGGCTGCTGCCAGGACTGAGTGTGGAAGAGAATTCCACAAAGTCACAGTATGGGGAAAGAAGCTAAATTTATAATAATCTGTACGTGTACTGTAGGTCTGAAAATGAAGAGGACTGGTATTACGTGTGATGGTTGTTGTCTGAGGTACTAGATACAGGTTTTGATCTATAGCCACTAATTTGTGTGTAATCTTATATAACATTATCAGTCTACATATTTTCCTTCTATGATCTAATGCTGGCCAATTTAGATGGTGTAACATGTTGGAGACATCACTTGTATTATGGTATTTATGTGTGACATATCGTGCAGCTCGTCTTTGTACATTTTCTAGTTTATCTTTGAGTTTTTTTGTATGTGGTGCCCAGACTGAAGAACAGTATTCAAGGTTAGACCTGACCATTGATTTATACGCCAAAGATTTTGTTTCTTCATTTTTTATCTGCAAATTTCTTTTTAAGAAACCCAATATCTTATTCGCCTTAGAAGTTATATTATTGATATGTGGTTCCCAGGACATGTAGGATAATATTATGCCTAAATATTTTGCTGTCCTTATAGATTCTAGTGTGTGTCTTTTTAAATTATAATTATATTTTACTGGTGTGCGAGATCTGGTGATACTGAGTGAACTACATTTTTGAGGATGAAATTGCATTCCCCAGACATGTTCCCAATTAGCTAAGGAGTCGAGATCTTTTTGAAGGATTACACAGTCATTTTGATTATGAATGGGTCGATAAAGGATGCAGTCATCGGCAAAGAGCCTTGTTTTAGATGTAACAGATGATGGTAAATCATTTATAAAAATTAAGAATAGGAGGGGCCCAAGGACTGACCCTTGAAGAACCCCACTGACCACAGGCATTGGACTGGATACCTCACCATCAAGGACAACCTGTTGTACTCTGTTGCTGAGAAAAGCAGAGACCCACCTCCAGGTGTTACCACGTATCCCATAATTATCCAACTTCCTCAGCAACTTCTGGTGAGGCACCTTATCAAATGCCTTTGAGAAATCCAGAATGATCAGATCAGTCTGAGTGTTTGAATGTAAATTTTCCAGTAATTCATGGCTAAGAGTAAGTAGCTGAGTTTCGCAACTTCTCTTAGCTCTAAATCCATGTTGGCAGTCTACTAAAATATCATGTTGGTCTAAATGGTTCAAGACGTTGCTGACAACTATGTTCTAATAGTTTACAACAAATGCATGTTAATGAAACAGGTCTGTAATTACTTGCCAAATATTTTTCCCCTTTTTTGAATATAGGAATAACATTAGCTACGCCAGTCTGCAGGTACCTCCCCTTGTGCCAGTGAAATGTTAAAAATGTGTGCAAGATGTGGAGCAAATTCAGATGCATATTGTTTCAGAATACGAGCTGGTATTTCATCTGGCCAATGGAATGAGCGTAAGAATATGTGTTGCACTCCTCCAGTTGCGTTGAGGTGCGACGGAATACGCAAACACACAGAATTACCACCGCGATATCGGCTGAAGTGGACGCTGTACCCAGTAAGCAGTCATCACGGAATACGGAAACTCAAAGAATTCACCACCTTGACATATGCTGACTATATACAAATGGATCTAAATTATCCGGAATGATAGCTTGTGACTAAGGGTGAAAATTTATATATATCCGAATGTATGTAACTTATCCGGAATAGATAAATATTACTAGGGTTCTTGAAATAAACTCACTTATCCGAGACCAGGTTCGTATAAATGGTAATATATTTGATTATATACATATGCATGAAGAGTCTGTGTGCAATTTACAATGCAAGGTACCACCGGGGACCTGCGAATGCATGCTCAACATTCTATCATTTTTCTAATGTACGTATTTATGATTTATTTTATTTTACGTTAATGTTTTACGTAAATTCTCTCTCCATCTCTCGCCTTCTTTGCTGCAACTCACTTTCCCAAAACAAGTTTATTTTTTACTTTTCTCTGTTCTCCAAAATTTTCTCATCTTTCCCCGTACTTCGAGTTACCATGTCGACTGCTGTAGGGCAAACATATTGCTATTCATACTCAAAGTATGACCATTTCATATCCATCTTAAATCATGTAATTATTTCTCTCATATTTTGTTGACCTTTATTCCCCATATTTAGGTGGGCGAGTGATATTAAGTCGATTATTCGTTTTCCGTGTGATTTCTCCTCTCGAGAAAAGAAAAGATCTTAAAAGTTTTCACCATACACACAAGCAATGGCTAAGAAAAAAGAGACAATGTTTAATATTTTATAATCTATCAAACAGATTTTCAAATTATCTTTTCATAAAATAAAAGCATTTCATTGCAAGCTTTATATTTTCATTTCTAGCGAAAGGAGAAGATTAACGATTGAAATAAAGTCATGGATAAGGGGCATAATTTCAAAATTATCTAAGGTGATTTGTGCGCTTGTTTCTCTTTTGTTAAGATACTTGCATTTCGAATTTCAAATTTATATAAATGATCTGTAGCAAGTGCCTCACAGAAATAACGGAATTGGTTTTCAGAAGAAATCAACTTCACAGTCATATACATTGTTCATTAGAAAACAAAACAGGCCATCACATGCAGATACTGCCAGATTGGTTTTCAAAAAAATCACTGGCAAGTCTTTAAAATCTGACCCCAGGGAATGTGTGGTGCAATTAAGTTTTCTTGATACACATCAAGCCTTCACATGGAGAGGGGGAGGCTATAAATTCGCTGAATAAATTGACATATTATTAGCAGACCTTACTGACTCAAAAACTATTAGAAGTCTCTTGCTGTGGTCTTCAATTCGACATTTGTAGATATATCGACGACATTTTATCATAACATGTATATTCATTCATAAGTTGATTTGAAATATCCCATCCCATTGAACTCCAAATAAAAGACACCACGGAATTTCACACATCATCTTCATATATTTCGATATTTTCTAAAGAAAGACATTGATGTCAAACTAACAACTAAACTTTATGATAATCGCGAAGACTTAAACCTTTCTATCGTCAACTTCCCTTATTTATGTAACAGTATACCAGTATTACCTAGCTGCATATGAGGTTTATGTCTCCGAGTTGATTTGATACACAGGAGCATATTTTTATTTTTCTAAAAAGAGGCAGGCT